TTCATCACCATAGCATGTCTAGATCATGAGATATCAAAACCGGAAGTTCAGCTGCAGTACCATAACAAGCCGCTAGGGGGTCCAAAATCTAATCACTTTGAGGTCTCATCAAGATCTACCTACCTACCAAGTATCAAGACAATCCATCAAGGCCTTCTTAAGTTATAGTGTTGACAGACAGACAGACAGACACACACACACACACACACACACATACACGAACGCCCCTGAAAACATAACCTTCTTGGCGAAGGTAAAAAATGACAACATTTATATTGAATGTACAAATCAACAAATTCCAACACCACTTGTTGTTGTTTTTCTTATAGAGTTAAAGGAAACTTTAGGATGCCTTTAAGAGTTGTAGCACCTGAATAAACTTTTTATTCTCTCCGATGTTTTCTTTCTTAATCGCCAACTAAACACTTTACAATGCTTTGCATGTCTTATTTACAGAAGGGTATTTTCTCTTAAAAGTCGATCTAAAACCCGTCACCAAACGTAAAAAGAGATGGCTCGTTCACGGAATTAACTTCCTGAGACAGACAAAAAAAGCTCTAAGAAATATCTATATATATTGACTTACAGTCTGTACACTAGTCTATCTACACAGCAGTGAATAGAAGTAAAGCTTTTTTAAAAATTCAATAGTGGCCTGCACTTATTCTAAGCTGTACATTTACATTTTCCTACTTGTTTGGTATATTGCATTATATCTTTGGGGGGTTACCGAAAAATGATTGTCTTTTCACAATTTTTTATAATTTCATAATCTTAAAAAAGTTCTCTCCTTTTTTTTGGCACTTAGCGTAGCGGGTATCTCTAGCCTCAACACTTGTCGTAGTGGTTCCTTAATTTCTTAAGTTGTTTAAGCACCAACATCTTTTCAACGACAAAAACTTTCCACAGTATAAAAGCTTTTTGACATCAAGCATCTTGTATAGAGGCATCGACAGAGACAGCAACAAAACAGTCCAACTGAAACTTTCAGTTTACCGACAATAACCTAAAACGGTGTCTGCTAAAAAAAGGCAAGTAGACAATTTTTGTAATGGGCATAACAATGGCATTCAACAATGGAGTCCTATTTTTAAAACGAATATGAATATATATATAATATTTATATATGTATATAGATAATATATAAAAGATTGCTTTATGTTTACATGTGTCTTTTCATGTGCAGGGTGAGGTGGTCTGAACGGGAGAAGGAGCGGTCGCATAGCTGGCACTGGAACGGGCGGACGCCGGTGTGTTTACGGTAGTGTCGCGTCAGTTCGTCCGAGCGGGCGAACTTCCAGCCGCAGCCCTCCCAGTTGCAGTGGTATGGCTTCTCACCTGAGGAAACAAAACAAGAAATTCAAGTTTAACTCAGGAATCACCATAGAGGAAGAATTCTAGTCATGACAAGCTTCTGATATTGAACCGCCTTGCTAGCTTGAATTCTATTACGTAACAAAATTACCCATGGTTAGACAGACAACTATGCTTGAAATTAAAATCGTGTTTGGAAATGTATCGTACAAGGTGTTACATTTTAACAATTGTTACATTCTACAAAGAAAACTTTCACGATGAAGTGTATGTTAACAAATAAAGGGATTCAATTCAAGTCAACTACTTCAATATGTGGTTGTAATGTACCGCGGAATGTAAACTATGCACCACCCACGCACTGCGAGTAAGAAATGTGTGTCGGCTTACCTGTGTGTGTTCTCGTGTGCGCCTTGAGGTGGGAGGACTTGGTGTAGACCTTCCCGCAGCCCGGGTACTGGCAAGTGTGCGTGGGTTTCTGTCCGTTGTTCTTGGCCCACCGTCTCCGCTGTCTCTTGGGCTTCTCTTCGGGGGTTACGACGGAGGCGCAGGTCTTACCGCCGCCGAGCAGGTCGACTAGCGGGGAGGAGGGCGGCGTGATGACCATGTTGTGCATGTTGTGCATGGTCTGAGACATCGGGTGTCCGTTCTTGTCTACTCCTTGTCTTCCGTACGACGCCGGGAAGTTGATGACGCCCCAGGCCTTGTTGGCCGTGGCGTTGCTCGGCGTTGGGTGGCGCTGCGCCCCGAAGGAGGCCAGCTCGCCTTCCGGTGTGGTGGGCGGGGACATGTTCTGGTGCTGGTAGGAGGCCGCCTGACGACCTTGTCGCGTGCTGGCGATTTTACTCAGTTCCTGTAGCTCCTTGAGCTTCTGTAGTTGGGAGAGGGGCAAGAGCTTGGGCCTCTGGCCTTGCTGCTGCGACTGAGTGAAGTAGTTGACTGGGAGCATCCCCTCGGTCTTGGGCACTGCCGCGGAAGTGTTGTTGTAAGCCTGCGACGTCGGGATGTGTTGTTGCTGGTGTCCCTGCGCCGTCGAAAACGCGCCCGGGAAGTTGTGTGAATACCACGTCGCGTTGGGGTAGCTGTTCTGCGTACCCTGTGGCACTCCGGCGTTTAGGATGAAGTCGAAATCCAAGAGTTCGCTGAGATCCTGCGGTATCCCGCTGGTCTTCTGCTCGGTGAAGGCGGTGTTTGTGTTGGGGATGTGCTGGGGAGGGTTGGGCACCACTGACGCGGGGGAAGCGCCGCCTGCCCCCATGTCTTGTCCCTCCATGTCGCAACTGTTCAGCGCTTTCTGGATCAGATCTGTGGTCTCGGTGAGTTGACTGGTCTGGTCGTTGAAAATCTCCTCCAGGACGCTGTTGAATGCCGTCTGCAGAACGTTCCGCTTCATGTTCTCGTGGGCCGGCGGGAGGTTCGACGGCATGAAGGGCTCGGGCGCGGCGACGCTTCCACCCGCCGATGAGATCCCGGAATCGCTGGCGGCGTCGCTCTCCAACTTGGCGGACTGCGGCGAGGCCGGCGATCCCGCGTCGGTAGACTCTCTCCTCAGCCTCTCGCAGGCCACCGTCTCGTCGTCCGCCTCTCTCTTGATCTTCAACATGACTTCACACCTGTACTCTCCACCGGTCACGCCCAGCTCTGTCTCGGGGTCGCTCCAACCGTCCTCCGACAGCCCTCCGCTCGGCGACGCGCTGCTCACACCAGACTTGTACAACGGGCTCTCAAATGGCGGGACGTCCTCGTACAACAGACTGTCCATATCCAGCCACACCTGCGACGGAAAAACGAGTCAGGTCAGGTCTGAGCAAAAAGGTGTAAGATACACTGTTGTTGTGAGGCTCCGCTCAGACTACGTGCTCTCGCTACCCCGCTGGTCTACACAATGGACTAATATATGACAGGAGGAGCCGTTTGTTTAGCGGTGAATGGGACGGCTCACCGTCATCAAAAGGTGTGCTGCTGCGTCAGTACAGGGGAGCGGGAGAACGCACAAATTCCTCCGTAATTATCCCCACTTCTCTTTTCAGTAAATAACACGCTTCACTGCGCACACACTATTGTCTCTGTCCGCCGGACTAGCGAACATCCGAGCGCCTGCGCAGTGCTAACAACAAGTGTTGTTTTTATCCGTGTAGCGCTCGGAGTTGTCTAGTGACCTGTGAAAGGACAATCATTGTCTCCTCGTCAATTTGACTTGTCTACCAGCAGGTTACCTGCGAGCATTTGCATAAAACCTGTACAAGTATCCTTGTCCTGCCGTACCGAGGACAAACTAATCTTTTAAAACGTGGCCAAAACACGTGCAAATGTCGAATAAAAACCTAAAATTGACCGTTTTGTCCTGATGTTTTTATAGTTATTAAGTTACACCGCGCATTGCTGAAGACGAGTCGCAATGTCTAGGAATTTACCATCTTTTGTTTGTTTTTTCTACGGTGACAAGATGTCGATACGATCTCTGCATGCTCGCGAGCGTCACTCTCTTAAAAACTAACCTCCATAGCATGCCAAAAACTGGGGGTTTGGGGGGTCTTCATGGGAGCTTTTATGGGCATTTTCTGATTGCATATAGACCACATAGCCGGCCTGGTTGAATTACCCCCGTTTTTAGAACTGAGCTGATCAGAAAACAGGCGAAGACCACCAAACCCCCAGCCTGCTACGGAGGCTACTTCAGAACAGCGCGGACGAGATGTCCCCGAGTACCGCTAAGTTTACAGTGCGCTGCGCGGGTCGCTACACATGACAGGGCACTCCCCGGCGGGAAGAGGGCTCTCGTACGCGTGCTTGGCGGTACGAATCGTCTTCCTTTCCGGGCTCACCTGTCGCTAGAGTGGGGTTAAACCAACACTCCAACACCGCGAGATACAACTCTGACGTCAGGCGACCGACGACAAGAAAAGAAAAGCGCGGAGTCAGCTAAAGATGTAAACTAAACGGAATGACTTCTAAATCCTGTCAGCGAAAAAATCATTTTGACATTCGGCTGTGAATGGTATAATTTCCTGTAAAATACAATTACTAGCATTACCTCATTTTCCTAATTCACAGGTACCTTACGATAGGAGCAAATTGTCTATTTGTTCTTCGTATCGTACCAAGTGTTGTTTCATCGACCTTGCGTTTGCTTGAATTGTAGTTTTCACCTTGAAAGCTAGGCTTATATTCTCACCAAGCAGAAGCTGTGGGGGAATGATCGTTAGCTTTTTATATATGGACGTTTACTTTTTTTTGTCGTTGGCTGGCGACCTTCTCTGGCTAATGGATACTGCCTGGACAATTTGATTCTGTCTTTTTGCCTCTGAAAGGGATCTGCTTTGAGATTAAGGCTTATAAACCCTGCACACAGTGGGCAAAAACAAGTGGATTTGTTGTAAAAGTACCGACTTGCCAGGAGGGTTATAAAACTACGGCAATTCAAGATAAGAGACTACAGTATAGGCCTCATAACCTGGTATAAATCAGGGCCATTATGTTCTGGACGTCATTTTGACCGGAGTTCGAAAAACATCGAAAAAAAACGCCCCTTTGCAAAAGTCAGACAACAAACTTTTATAGTTTACAAGATAATAAAAAGCGGACCTTTTAATTGTACACTAGTTTTTTTATTTATTTTTCTTTCATTTTGTACTTTCAAGCCGATTGCTTCACTACTGGATGTTTATGTTTTTTCGTATTTTTTCAGGTGGAAGATTTCGTAAAAAAATCGAACTCGCGTTGAAAAAAAAGTCAGTATACGTACGTGCGACCTTCTCGAAAAGACATGCATGTTCTAATGACTCTTAGCGCCTTGGCACAGTTAGTGTGACAAATACACGGATAATAAACAAAAAACAGAGGAGGGGGAGCTATCAGCAGGACAGTATGCGAAGCAATTAAAAGACTGCCACAATCCGTTTTCTGTTAATCAAATTGCCCATGTTATTGTTCTCTCTCGAAAAGAAAAGCTACGTTTATATTCGTCGTTTACGCTCGGGTTTTTGAAACTTTTAAGCTTTTTCGTTGACGTAACTTCAGCATGGAGAAAAAAATTTAGTAACATGTGCAGTCAATCTGCCAAAAGAGAGGGAAGAAGAATTAATGCCAGATTTCTCGCTACATGTTACGGTTATTTCAGGCACAAGTCTTGCTAAAATAACAGCAAAGTGAATCCAAGTACGTAAATTTGTAAGGCATTTCACGCTGTACTGTGGCAACATGGTAGGGATTTTGTAAAGTTACGCGACTGAAAATAACTCTATTCTAGTGCTATTTTCTGAAAAGCAGCTTAAAAAATGCATGCTTTCACGTTGTTAGTTTCCACTCCAATTTTGAATGATAGCAAGTATATTGCCCTATATCTTATTCAAATATTTCAAAGACTTTTGTAGCGTAGCCCTTTTCTTCAATATCCACACACATCTCTGTTAAATTGATAAAAAAAACTGCAATATATTCCGAAAAATAAACATATTTCTTTGACTATAGAAACCGTATGGAACACCTGTGGATAATCAAAGACAGGTGAACATACTTCCAGCAGACGGGCTCACTTCAGAAATCCTCCAGAGACACTTCATAAATAGGTGAAGATTTGTGCGCCATTCTTTATACTCATTTTGCAATGAAAAAAGTAAAGTAACCCGCGGTAATACATAGACTCCCCATGGGCAAGTAATCTTCATGATTCATCAATTCTGTACGGTAAATAACCACACAGATTCCTAAAATTCCATGAAACGCGACCATTCAATAATAAAAAAAAACACTTCCATAGTAACGACAATGTATGGATATTCAACACTCCAGAAAAAAATATGCTCCTTGTCACAATACGAAGTTTTGATGTGGATCTTTTTTTTTATTTTCCCTTCTTCTTTCTCTAAAATTGACGTAAAAGAACTGATGAGAAAATGCTGAGAAGTGAACAATGACTACTCTCCAAGCAGAGGTTTGTGGGGAATGATCGTTACCTTTTCATATATGGCCGTTTTTTTTGTCGCTACCCCCACCGTCGGTGGCTGGTGACCTTCTCTGGCTAATGGATACTGCCTGGCCAATTTGGTACTGTCTTTTTGCCACCGAGAGGGATCTGCTTGGAGATTAAAGAATGGCTACTAGGACTATACTGTAGGACTGTGTAAGTTAAAACGACTGCCACGCCCCCACACTAGCTAAGGAATGGTATGTCTCTCTCACCACGCTAGTATGATTCAGACTTACTGGATTTTTCCAGAACTGCACGAAAAACAGGTTGACCTTTAAATTTGACACCGATAGATTTCAACAACAGAGGTTCCTCTTCCTCAAGAAATAACCATTTGAGTTTGGTGCAAAAAAAAAAGTCGGAAGGGAGTGCCAACATACCACGAGGTATTAAAAAATCTATAAACCTGTCACCTTAAATTTTGACAAATATAACACCGCGACTGAACGGATATTCAAATCTGTGTCATGCCTATAGAATAATCAATTAACATGGAATATCATACAGAAAGAATTGGGACGGTTAATTTTGGCGTTAAAATGAATTCTACTGTGTTCACAAAATGGCCAGACGTCCATGTCGCAAAACTAGAAGGTTCGCTGTCATATTAACATAGTTAAAGTAGCGTTTGGTGGGTGTCTTAGGGGGCGGTGCAATGATAGTCATCGCAGTGGTAGGGTATAACATGTCATGCCTATGTATTGAACAGTTATCCCCACACAGACTAACTCAGGCATGGAGGAGATAGCTAGCACATGGTCACCCCGTGCCCCGGCCTCGCAACCCCGCATTCCACTACACAAAAGAGGTCAAATGTCAGCCGGTAGACTTACCTGTGTAAAACAGGTACCCCAAAAAATCTACAAACGGAACAGAATAAATATCATTTGGGACTAATCAGTGTTTTAGTAGGGTAGAAGTGTTTCGGAGATAGTTTTTGGCGATGCCATTTTGCTTGCAGCGCCCGAGCTTCAGGTATGAGATTATGAATGGGGACGTGCGACCCTTAAAATGAATCAATGGGAATTCCTTCTTACCTGTTCCAGGTACGACGACCGGTCTTCGAAGCTGTCACTGAAGGTCGGGCTCTCTGCGCCCTCCGAAAACAGGGGATCCATCATAAGCGGCATCTCTGCTGGCCTAACCCTCTTCGCAGACACGGGGGTCGCTGGTTCGATTCCTGCGAGGAGCGGCAAAGAGAGTACAATCCCGTGAAGTGCACTAGAAGAAGCCTCACAAACAAACTCGCGGGCACAGGGGTATTCCACTTTATTCGTCCCCTCTCTCCGCTCCTATTGGTCGCTAAGGTAAATGTTGAGCTTGGCTGCTGGCCAATCGGAAGTCTGGCTCAGGGACGGGTGATTAATATTCATGAGCTCAGCCTGGTCCATATGTATGAGGTCCCTATTGGTGCGTATTTTTAGCACAGTATATAAAGCGCGGCGGGTTTGGCGAGCGGCGTGTCAGTGTCTCTTCGGTCAGCCCGGCGCGAGGAGCTCCCACCGCCTCCGCACTAATATCACCATGGCAACGACCCAAACAACTATGGCGGACAATGGCTCTCCTTTGCCCCTTGACGTCACAAGTACGTCATAACCCAAACCCGTCCTAAGCGAGGCATGCCGAATGCAAACACCCTGACAAGAATTGCGGCCGCTAATGTTAGAAGCAGGGACTTTTCTTATCTCTATTGACGGCACGTCTGTATATTTATACGCACGGAGGGGGCGTAAAAATGCAATTAGCCCGGCGTATAAGGGGCTTAGCAGTGTTTACCCCTACCTAACCCTTCCGACTGGGCAGATTATGGAGAAGGGGTCTGTGGACAGGTAAAATGTCATGTAGATATTCAGTTATATGGGGGTGGAAGGTACAACATACCATATCCTACTTCTAACAATCGTCTCCAAAATTCCTATCATTGCAAAGAAAGGTCCCTCCCTCGCTTTTTAATCTACCCTTGAACCGAGACAAAGAAAGAAGACTTAGATGTAATTATTCGGTTCTTGGCATTTTGACCTGCTCTTTTTCGGTTTTATCCTTGAAATATTTTTTTGTGTGGTAAAAGTACTAATAATTTTCTTTATGTTGTAGCAATGAGGTTAAAAGAAGTAATTTGATCATCGAACACATTCTAGTTTTAAGATGTAATGGTTGGTAACACATGTTAAAGGGTAGTTTTGTTTATTATTGCTTTATTTTTGTTGCTAAGGTCAGCTTGTGATAAGGGGAGTAAGTATGTTTCACACCTACGTGTAACAAGTCAACTTTCCGTACAGTATGAGCATTACATGCCTTTAAGCACTAGCAATTAGCAATGTTGAGCAATTTGAAATAAACCCAAAGTACCCCAATAAAGTGACAGCATTACCTTTTATTTTTATTTATTTTTCATTGATCAAAACATCAACACATAACAAGGACAATCTGGCGCTGCACTCAAGTTTATAACTTATATTAACAGCGCCACACAACAAAATTCAATTAACATTTACGTTTTATTCAAAAGCGGGACTGATTAAAAGCGTCCAAATTAAGTTACCTTTTTTCTAATGAGAAAAACTTCAGAACTTTAGAAAAAAATCGCTGTTGAGAAAGAAAGATAAATTACTTCTCCTTCTTTTCTTGAATCGACGTTTTTTAAAATGTATTCCAACATGTAATCACCAGACGTGGTGACGGCGCACTCAAGTTTTTTCAACTTATATTAATGCCAGGGACACAGGGGACAAATACATTACAGGACAATACTCATTTTCACCCGAGCGAAGTGAGGAAAGTCGTGTAATGTGCCTTTCCCAAGGGCACAAGATCGGTGGCATGTCAGGACTCGAACCCGGGACCTCTTGATTCCGAGTCGAGCACTCTGCCGCTACGCCACACAACCCCACGAAAAAACGACGCTTGTTTCAATTGTTTCTAAATCTCCTCTGTCCGCGTAATCTTCTGTAATCCGCTGTGGTGTAAACATCCGAGACACGGATACATTTTCCCAGGACGACTACTGTAGCGTTAAAATACCTGCGCAGTGGAGAGAGATAACAGTTACTTAACGACATGAAATTTAAGGCTACCGGGGACGAGCTACCGTAAATTCATTTATCTTTTTAATGGTTGGTATTCTACTCTCCAAGCAGAGGTTTGGGTTTTTTTCGGGGGGGGGGTGTTTTTAGGTTTTTTTAATCCCTTTTTTTGCACTAGAATTTTTTGGGTGGGGTGAAAAAAAGAAACCCCAATAAAAAGCCTAAAAACACGCCAAAAATAACCCCAAATCCAAACCTCTGCTTGGAGGGTATTCGGATCCACGGTAGAAAAGAAATGCAGGTTTTGTGGTCGAAATAATTCTATACTCCAGTAGAATTAACTTTGACAGTAGAATTAAGAAGTATATAATACATATTCTCCGGGTTATCAATTACGATTTCACGGTAAGAGGCCATGGTGAAAATAAAGGCACCGCGAAATTTTCAGGACTTAAAATATACATATGAAGGATTAAAAAAAATATGAAAATCCTATACATACCTGGATAACACATTGCTTTTATACAACATGTAAACCTTCACTGCAAAGGGCTGAAAAGTATTTCTTGCTGTACCTTATAAATTTATAAATACTGGGTTATTTTCTTGCTACTACCAGTATCGGGCAGAGCGCTTCCTTTCGTAGCTTTGAAATGACTTTATTAAAAGTAAATATCCCAAAAGTATCACAGGCAGTACTGAATAGCATTACTACGCAGGGGTACATTTAACATGATATGACTATGGAATAAAAGAACACTTACTTATACGCTTTGTAACGATAAGAATGCGTTTTGTCATTTTTGCGAATCGCCTGATTTTAGTCTTAGATGTATACAGAAATCAATAAGACATAGAACAGACTTTGACGACACATATATCGGCCCTCTCACATGTTTGTGACTTAGGTTGACCCTCTTACACTACAAACGACCTTTTCAGAACCCAACGAGGTGAGAAATATGCGGGTTGAGTGACTCTCACTAACTGGTGACTCATTCTCCCCAGCGGTATAAAGTGTCGAGTCGATAAAAATAAACCAGACCCAAACTTGTTGTTCTCAAGCGAAGGTGGTATCTGTCAGGTGTTGAAAGTCAAACACTGACAACTACTGTTCTTTTTTTCTTGAATGAGAAATAGAACAGGATGACCTTGGAACTTGCTTGCCCCCCTCCCCCTTTTTGACACACAGCCTTCCTGTCAGTCACCAGTCACCACAAAATAAACCACAAAACCGCAAAGTCCGTTTTGTGTCAAGTCATAGAAAAGAAGGAACTTAACACAGTATATTCACTGATAAACTGTAGCACACAGTATCACACAAGAACTAAAAGATATGTGAAAAAATAGCTATCATTGTGTATCATAATAAGTTCTTATGGCGAATGCAGGGTGTTCAAATATCGTATGCATATAATATACTACTATAGGTATGCGGCGATATATTTTACCAATGTTTACGAATGTATGAATATAGGTAGTGAAATCTTGATTACATTATATATATATATATTTTTTTTTTGGGGGGGGCAGCAAATTCTTGTGGCGGCAGACGCTGTGTTTTCAATCTTATGATGAAATCCTCGGCCTTTTGATTTGTTGTTTTCCCGCCAAAGGTCGTGTTTGGGAAAGTTTGAGTCATCAGGCCCCGGGGTAGCACTGAGCTAACACAGAGTCGTCTGACAGATAAACACGGGGGGCCACTGAACCTTTGTACGTGTTAACCACTCAGGTGGTGACTGGCGTAACAGTAGAGTATTCGGCTTAGAACCAAGAAGTCCCGGGTTCGAATCCTCCCATGTCACATGCGTAATGGCAGAGCATTCGGCTCAGAACTAAGAGGTCCTGGGATCGAATCCTGCCATGTCACATACGTAATGGCAGAGCATTCGGCTCAGAACTGAAGAGGTCCTGGGATCGAATCCTGGCATATCATATGCGTAATGGCAGAGCATTCGGTTCAGAACCAAGAGGTCCTGGGTTCGAATCCTGCCAAGTCACAAGCGTATATAAACGGTAGAGCATTTGGCTCAGACCAAGAGGTCCGGGTTCGAATCCTGCCAAGTCACAAGCCTTGTGACCTTGGGAAACGCACTTTACACAATTTTCCTCTCTTCGCTCAAGATGCCAGGATAATCATTATCATAATCGTGGGCATTAAAGAAAACCAAACCACTTGCACCAGGTCACCTGTGTGGGTTTGAATGGAATGTTCCAAACTCGAGAAGAACGCGATGACTCAGTTCTGACGGTTTGAAGCTGAAAAGAGCAGTTTCGCACACTTGGCACGCAGCGGTACGATATAACGTTACATTGTGCTGAGTGTAGCTGAGTCATGATTTATGTCAGCTGAGCCTGACGGCTTCCGTGTGGCGATTGAGGTTTTGAAACATATTTGAAAGTTTGTGGCAGAAAGTAATCCCACACGTGAAAGCACACACTCATATACGTGCACACACACCACACGTGCATACATATGCACACACACACACACACACAGACACACACGTGCACGCACACACGCATACACATAAGCATATACATGTTATATGCATACACATACACACGTGCACGCACGCATACAAGCACACACACACACACACACACACACACGCACGTACACACACATGCACATCTAGAAATACACGCATACACATACACGGTCATGCACACAGATATGTACACGCACAAGCACTCAAACATACATGTTCACTAGCGCACGCACGCACACACACAACTGAAACACACGCATACACATGCACACACATGCACACGCACACGTATATACACAATGACACAAAATAAACAACAGCACACACACCAGCAATGATGTTATTTCTCCATGTACTACTGTAACAATATTCCATGATGACTAATCCACACTCCCAGTATTTTCTGCAATGTCATTCTCAGTGCCTATCAACTTCTATTTTTGTCTGTCGCCGTGGCTAATTCAGTAAAGAGCCAATCGTTTCCTTGATGTTATCATGTTGTACCACGCACGCAAACACACCACTCACGTATCGTGACAATTATCCTTACTTCCCCACCGTTCCCTACCACAAAAAAAAAAAAAACAATTTTACTACTAAAATCTAAGAACCCACATATTATAGAAGAAGTGGGTAAATTCGTCTTCCATTGCCTAAAAAGAAGAAGTCAAACCCAGTAAAACTAGTGTCATGTCATGTTGTAGAATATAGTATAATGTTAGAAGTAGATATAGTC